TTGATCATATGGTACCTCTTGAAATGGTTGAACATTAACCATTTCCTTTTGGTACAATGACTCTGTGTATTCCTTCCATCTTCTCTTGATGCATTCTACATCGCTCAATAATTTGCCCAGAGAATCTTTCAATAATGAAAGTCGAGGCTTGAATTTTTTCTTCAGTTCCCCCAGCTTGAGAAATGCTGACAGTGTACTTCCTTTTTGGTTTTCTGATTCCAAATCTTTGCATATTTTATTTTAGTATTTGGTTTTATTTTCTCGAGCTTATCTTTGAAATTTTCTGTTCAGCTCTTGGACCTCCTTATTTCTTCCATTTGCTTTAGCATCTCTACGCTGGAGATGACTCTTCTGACATCCATTTTGACCTTTTCTTTCTTTCTTGTCTTAATGACTTTTTGCTTTCTTCACATATGATGTTCTTGATGTCATCCCACAACTCTTCCGGTATCAACTTTGTTCTTCAGATGATCTCTAAATTCAGGTGGGATTAATTCAAGGTCATATTTTGGCTCTTGTGGACTTGTTTTCATTTTCTTCAGCTTCAGTTTGAACTTGCATATGAGCAATTGATAGTCTGTTCCACAGTCTTCCCCTGGCCTTATTTTCATTGATGATATGGAACTTTTCCATCTTCTCTTTCCACAGATGTAGTCAATTTGATTTCTATGTGTTCCATCTGGTGAGGTCCATGTGTATAGTCGTCTGGTATGTTGTCTAAAGTAGGTATTTGAAATAAGCAAATCATTGATTTTGCAGAAATCTATCATTCGTTCTCCAGCATCATTTCTATCACCAAGGCCATATTTTCCTCTTTGCTCCCAACCTTTGCATTCCAATCACCAGTAATGAGCAATGCATCTTGATTGCATGTTTGATCGATTACAGATTGAAGAAGTTGGTAGAATTCTTCTATTTCATCCTCACTGGCTTTAGTGGTTGGTGCATAAATTTGAATAATAGTGGTATTAACTGAGCTTCCTTGTAGGCACATGGATATTATCCTATCCTATCACTTATAGCATTATATCTCATGACTAATCTGGATATGTTCTTTTTTTTTTTTTGGATATGTTTTTTTTGACAATGAATGCAGTACCAGT